TTTTGCTGTACCCATTAATTCAAGCATCTGGTTATTACCACCAGCATGATCATAATGATGATGTGTTGTAAGAATAGTTGTTAATTTTAATCCTTCTTTCTTAATGGTTTCCACTAACTAGACATTCAAATTAAAAGAATCAATTAGAATGTTTGTTTTTTTTTTAAATATTGTCTTTCTTACTTCCTTTGGTTCAGCTGGATCAACAACTGCACATTCTGTTGTTTTATCATCAGTTATTAAATACATATAATTATCTTGTAATGCATTGAAATGACGGATTTTCATTGTACGATAATAAAATTTATTAACTAAAGATGAAAATCTGAAGAAGTATAAAAATAGTACGGTAGTTTGTGTTATTAATAAATTAAACTTTTTTTTTTGATTAATTTAGTATACTGCAGACTTACTTCAATACCAACTGTTGTCGCACAAACATGATAAATCAACAAATATCTACTTTGATACAATCTATTAAAATAATTAATTCATTTTTTACAATAAGTACTGTTCAAAATTCGAAGCTTCATCAATCTCATATCGTCGCGTAACAAAAAAAATTGTTTATTGAATGATCGATTTGATCCAATGAATAACTAAGACATATGTGTCGCTATCAATCAATAGATATATCTCATATGTAATTTTACATCGAACTCAAATTATAGCAAAAAAAACGATCGTAAGCTGTTAATTTTCAGAAAACGGCACGCTATGTGAATAAGTTTTGAAATCAGATGAAGGCGCTTCATGCCCTTGGTTATATCAGTTTGAACACAAGCGTTCTGTACTGAATTCATTGTATCTTGTTCTCGATATACTAACAAAATAAACGTTCAGATAAATTTAAAGAATCTCGTCATTGTTCGGGCTGCTAAAGTCGAAATTTTTACAATTTTTGGTTTTTTCAGTGCTAATATAGCTGCAAAGTATCGTCCGTTAAATGTCATATAACTGAGGACTCTTCCTTATTAGTTAATACTTTTACTGAATTCAACTCTCGAAATTCATAGCAGAAAAACTCACGTTGCAACTTCTGGCCAATTTTTGGTCGTTCACCTTTTGTGGTACTTATCGAGATCTATCTGCCGTGAAAGTTCCGTACGTTTTCATCGAATAATTGTCGAGAAATTTCGAAAAGGGGGACGGATAACTTGAAGTATAGTATTTTTATTAGTAAAATTTTTTATTTATCAAACAGAATGTTTTATTAACTTATCTTCATTGATAACTCAATTAATGTTTGCAAAGATATGCGAAGATAACGTACATCACTGGTTTCAGTTTTTTTTTTGAATCCTATTGAAGAAATTTCTCCAATATATAAAATCATTCGTGGAAATTTAGGTATTTTAAGTTGATATACATATTGCAATTTTACCCTTCGTGTATGACCACGTGGCAAAAAAGTTAGATACAGTTCGATAAAAAGATTTCATTCCAGAGCCGTGTCTATGAAGAAATATAAAATCGATATTTTATGTTATTATCACATGTATGAGTTGAGACCAATATTATATTCTAAAGCAACATTGAAAGCAAAGTCGTTTTGTATGTATTTACAATATTTCTGCAAATTTGATTTTTTCCAACAAATCATGTTTCCCCTACTCAGTCTTAGAGTTCATCAAAAAAAAATGATTTCTCTGAAAATGATAATTTTATCATTCTATCTTCTGCCATTTTGCTTTTAGTAATATTTTAGAAGCTTGGGCGCTTTGCTCCATAGTATCAATGGTGTTTTCGACAAAAACCAATTTTTGATGAACTCTAAGACAGAACAGGGCGGCATTTCTTTTTTTTTTATAAGACAAAGCCTCAAAAAAATTTCTTAAGATATGTAAATCAACTCTGTTTTCATTACCGATGTCAAATGAAATATTGCAGAATAAGAATCAAAAAAAGTACAAAACCTTAGATCGAGAAAAATGTGTGTAGACATGCATCAAGTGAATAGAAGTTTTTGAACTTGATGAATATGCCGTTTCTAAGCTTTATAAAACATCTATCGGGAGATAAAAGCTCGAACTGGATACCAGTGAGCGTTTGGTCACGATTATCAGAACAATGATGTCTTCATGTTTCGTAACGTAGAGAACAAATGCTTAGCAAACTTCTTATTTTTAACATTCCTTGTCAAGGACAGTTTACTAGGAATACCTGCTTATATAGTACAAAAGCTCTTAACACAGTCTAGAAAACTGATTAGAATTTTGTTTGGAGTTTACCTATGTTGATTGTTATTACACAGACAAGTTTTCTTCCACGGCTAAGGAATTTAGTATATTTCTAGAATTTACAGTGCTTTTTGGCAACTCAACAATAATTCCAAATTGTTTATATTAATTATCACTAATTATAATTTCTAGAAGAAATTTTCTTTAGCTTTCATACTCCATTTATCTCATTTAAGAAAGACTATTAAAAATTGAAAAACTCTCGTTACTTTATTAAACTTCAATTGTGAAATAAGACTATAGATTTCAAAATCTAGCGTGTTTCCAGCAGCAAATATTATTCTAACAGATAAGAACTTGTTGATCCCTATGCATTATACTTGTTCAATCTAGCGAGGCTTTAAAATAATGATAGGCAAAATAACAAAAGAAGAGGCACAGAATTATAACTCAAATTAAATCTTACAACTAAAGACATTATCAAATATTATATCGGTACATTGTACAGAGAAGAGCCATGTCTCATTTGAGAGAGAGTAATTTCTGCTATTCAGACGTACTAGTTTTTCAAATTTACATTTCCACTATATAGTTCAGTTTTTATAAATGTAACAAACATTTTGCCCACTAGAAACTGAGAATACTCTAAAAATTCCATTAAGATCATTCATGCCGGAACAATACTTACATATTTTTTCTTTTGTTTTTTATTGCTTATGTTTATAGTATAAATGTAACTTAGGAATTTAAACGAAATTTCTCCTAAAAATTTTAACTATTGATAATTCATATAAGATTAAAAGTTACATATGAGAGCTGTTACTTTAGCAAAAATGTAACCTGCTTAGTTTTGCACTGAATGCTGTAACGAAATAGTTTTGAACTATTGTCGAATTACGAAATAATTTGCTGAATAGTAAACATATGCTAAACGTTTTTGTCGTTGGAGATCAGTTTTATGTGCGCTAAACACAAGTCAGATGTCAGACTTTGAAGAAAGGATTAATAATCTTTAGGTAAACTATGCTATAGTGTGGTCCCGAACCTTTCTCACTTACACGGTTAGAACAAAACTGCCTGCTGCACTTTGTTTCAGCTCCCACTTATTGAGAAAATTTCTTCTTCAGCATCCTGTTGGAAGGTAAGCGTAGCTTTGTGGTGGACTATTTCCTATAAGAAACACTTACTAATTCTCTATTTGACTTGCATTAAACAGGTAAATTCGTGATTTGGATGAGACATGTTTCATGAACTTTTCCCTACGCTTTTGACTGTCCTCATTGTAACATATGGATCAATAAATAACATTTTTAGTTTTCTTTTTATTGTTGCATCATAATAATCGTCATTTCATATCAGAAAATTTACCTAATTGATCAATAATTTTCTTTAGATACAACTTTGATTTTCTTATATTCCGTTTATTCCTGGCTTCACATCTTTAAAACATTGCATATAGTTTTGCCTTCTCATTCCTTATTGTGGATCAAACAAAGAGTATTCATACGCACGATTATATTCACGTAATGATGCTAAAACTAACTTCTAGCAAAGACAGATCTCTTTTTAGAAAGGAATTTGTAATGCCGAACAAGCGACAGCTGAAGATAAAGCACATAATTATGAAGCTGCTGCACAACATTATATGAATGCAGCAGATTGGCTTATGCAAGCAATGAAATGTTAGTACATCATTTTGGTTTTATTGAAAGTCATGTTTGAATTTTAGATGGAGTAATGAATGCTCAAATGAAACAAACGCTAAGACCTAAAATAGAAAGTTATGTAAAACGAGCAGAAGAAATAAACGAGATTTGAAGCATGGTTCATTGAAAAAGAAGACTGGCTGATACTTCTGATGAACTGAAGCTAGGTTTGATCATATTTGTTTTTCTAATATACATATTATTCCTCCTTTTTTTTACTTTATCCACTATTGTGAATGATTCGAAAGCCACATTTGACGATGTCATTGAGTTAGAACAAGCTAAAGAAGTATTGAAAGAAGCTATTATTTTACCAGTCAAATTTCCACAAATTTTTCAAGGTACGTACTATTAAAAATACATACTAGTCGGTTGTTCTTCTGCCGTTTTCAGGTAATCGTAAACCATGGGCTGGGGTTTTACTTTATGGAGTAAGTTTGCACTTTC